TGACCCCTCAGCATTATTTGGTTTGTGTGTCATTACCATCCAAGGGTCACTCTGTCACCCAGGCTGGAGTGCAGTGGTATGATCATAGCTCACTGCAGCCTTGAACTCCTGGGCTCAAGTGATCCTCCTGCCTTGGCCTCCTGAGTAGCTGGGACTATAGGTGTGCACTACCATGCCTGGCTAATTTTTTTTTTTTTTTGGTAGAGAAGGGATCTCACTATGTTGCTCAGGCTGGTCTTGAACTCCTGGCCTTAAGTGATCCTCCGCTGCAGCCTCCCAGAGTGCTGGGATTACAGGTATGAGCCACCATGCCCAGCCTCCATTAGGTTTTTGAAAAGAAATTGACAATATTGCCCCATGACTACATTGCAGGCCCAGCAGGGCTCTAGGACTCCTCAACCCCTCCCAAGGCCCCTTCAGAACTTAGGAGGCTGGGCTTGTGTTCTTGGCTTTTCCCTGAACCAGCCTTTGCCCTCTCTGGACCTAGGTTTCCTGAATATAAAATGAAGATGCTGGACTTGGCAAGTTGTTAGGTTTCTCTTAGCTCTGCGACTCTGGCTTGATGAATAAAGCCGCCTGCATATGGCAGGAGAACAGTGATACACACTCATAGCAACTGCAAATGCCCTCCAAGGCAGGTCTATAGATGTTTCATGGAGGCAGTGGGTGTGTTGCTACCGCCGCCCACCTCTCTGAATACAGTGCCTGTTTCCACCAGGAAGGAGACTAGGGGCATCCATCGAGTAGTGTCACAGGAGCTAACAGATGTCAACAGATGGTTCTGTGATCTGGAACCCTTCCCTAAACTCCAAAGGGCTGATGATTATTAAGCCAAGCCCAAAAAAGCAAACTGCCTCTCTGTGTCTCATGACCACTGCTCTTACTCAACAGGGAGGGCCAGGTGTGGAAGGCCTGAAAGAGAAGACTATAGTTAGCTCTCTAAAATCTAAAATGTGTTTGGGGGAAGATCTTAGAACCATCTAGTCCAAGCATCTCGTTATACACATGAGAAAAGTGGACCCAGGTCTCCTGAGGTTCTTCTTACCTGGCCATGTGTTGCTTCTTGGTTTGCTCCAACTAATAAATGAAAGTTTCTTTTCAAAAGTACCACTCACTCAGAATCAAGGCCAATCTGATTACTTTCTCCCCCTCAATTAGATCAAGTAAAGGTTTCTTTTCTTTTCTTTTTTTCTTTTGAGACCGAGTCTCACTTTGTTGCCCAGGCTAGAGTGAGTGCCACGTCATCAGCCTAGCTCACAGCAACCTCAAACTCCTGGGCATAGGCGATCCTCCTGCCTCAGCCTCCCAAGTAGCTGGGACTACAGGCATGTGCCACCATGCCCGGCTAATTTTTTGTATATATATTTTTAGTTGTCCAATTAATTTCTTTCTATTTTTAGTAGAGACAGGGTCTTGCTCAGGCTGGTTTTGAACTCCTGACCTCGAGCAATCCGCCCGCCTCGGCCTCCCAGAGTGCTAGGATTACAGGCGTGGCCACTGTGTCCGGCCAGGTAAAGGTTTCTATGCAGCATTAAATACCAACTGCTTTTTGCGTCCTGTACTTAAGTATGTGCCTACCAGACGATGGAGACCATTCTGAGCTGCGGCAGATGGACAGGTACTGGCTCCATTTCCCCAGCACAGCCATCTTTGAATAGCAGTGCTTAAGCGATCATGTGAATGTGAATTTATTGCATCCTGACCTTTTTGTTTTTTAAAAATTGGTGGATACATGGTCAGATGTGGTGGCTCACACCTGTAATCCCAGCACTTTGGGAGGCTGGGGGACAGGGATTGGTATTAGGCCAGGAGTTCAAGACCAGCCTGGGCAACAAAGTAAGATCTCCATCTCTACAAAAAAAAAAAAAAAATTTGGTGGAAAATGTGATGCAAACACTAAAGTTATGATGCTACTCACAACATTGGTTTCATAACTTGACACAACTAACACAAGACAGGAATCACGGGTGCCCTGAAAGCCTCAGTGTGACCATCAGGAGGCTTTGTTCATTCACACTATGCTCAATTGAGAAGAAAATCCCCAAGAGTTTAAAAAATATAAAATGTTGGCGTGTAATACGTGTGTAATACTAAAAACTGTTACAAGGGGAGGCATTTTGTAACTTAGCTCTCTGGGATTAGTACTTACCTCCTCCTGAGAGACTCTGTTGCTTGGTGTTTGCACATCTGAATTGTATATCCACAATTTTTTAAAAAAGGAATATACACTAGCTGGGGACACTTTAGTCCAAAAAGGGCTAGTTTGAGACAATTTCCAAAAACTTAATACACTTAGAACAAACACCCATTGAAGGGCCAGTTACGGTTTTCCTACTGTACGGGTTTTAGCTGATTCAACAAACTGCTACCACTCTAGTTAAGGATTAAAGATCCTTAGGATCTCTCCCCTGTAACAATTCAGAATCAGTTTGCAGATGTCCAAAGTATCAATTGCTTCTGAACTGCTGAAAGATCTAGCTCAGACACTGGGGGCCTTATCTAGCCGCAAGCATCCTTCTCCTAATCTGTTTCTTCACTGGTAAACAAAGGTCAAAACACCTCCACTGCCACCCTCAGAAGCAACAAATGCAATGGGGATGAGCCCTTATTAAGCCCTGGGTTTCCAACCTGCGATTTCAGAACCCCACAAACAGCACTGGGGGGAGGGGTGCACATGAAATTCGCAGCATCTCAAAAGAGTCAAGGGCACTAGTGCAGCCCCCAAGCGCTGCAAGGGCTAACCGAACATCCCGTCTCTGCGTCCGGCTAGAGAAGTACCAACTCAGCGCGGAACCAGGGGCCTCCCGAGGCGCCCCAAGCCCTGGCAGCAGGGTTCACTGGGACCGGCGAACAAGGCAAGGGAACTCGCGTCACCGGGGTTGGGGGCGGGGCCAGAGGCCCGCCCCGACCACGCCCCCATACGTCCCAGCTCCGCGCCCGCGCCCGCCGCCGCGATGAATGGAGACGCGCGCTCCCGGCGCGCATACCCGCCCAGGGCTCCCGCGGGGCCCGGCCCAGGGAGGGCGAGGTCGTGCCGCGGGCTACCTCGGAGCCGATCATGTAGAACTCTCCGTCGTCCTCCAGCTGGAACTTGACGGGCTTCTGCCCGAAGGTCTTGCTCAGCGCCATCATCATCATTACGGCGGTGGAGGCGGGTAGCCCGGGCCGGGCCGCGAGGGACTGGGAAGGCTGGGACGGAGCCGGGGCGCGCCGGGCCGCGGGGAACCGAGACCGGGAAGCGAAGTGCGGGCCGGGCTGGGACTCGCGTCTCCTCCAGGCTCTTCAGCCGCCGCAGCAGACGACGACCAGGGAGCCCTCAGCGCGCAGGCGCGGGCGTTGACGGCGGCGCGCCCGCTGACGGCGACGCGCGCGCCGCCGCCCAAACAAAAGCCCGAGCGCGTCCCCGCGGACCCCTTAAAGGAGGCACGTCCAGTTTCTCTTCCTGCCAGGCTACCTCTCAAGTCGTGGTACAAAGGAAAGGTTTCTCACGGACAAAAAAAAAAGCCACTGAAGCCCTGTCTTTTGCAGTGGCTTTCCCAGTCTTACAGCCAAAACTGGAACTCAGCCCAGGGAAGAAGGAATAAAGTGAGGCCTAAAGGCCGGGAGGACAGAGCCACATCTGGAAGCCTGAATGGTCTGGACAAGCCTTATGAGCCAGGCTAGCGACTCAGTTTCCCCACCCCGAAATCGCAGTGCAGCTGAGCAGATAAGAGGGCTCCTTGGAACAGATATCTCAGTTCCAGGCCTACAGCTCTTCCTGCAGCAGTGGGGATAGGTGGAATGACAACACTGGGTGCGGTCTGGCGGTATTTGGAGTCCAAGGTGGTATCTGGTATGGCTGGTGCATCAGATGAGTGTTGGAGGAGAGGGACACCTTCTCCATTCCCTCCTTAACTCTGCACTCTGTGCTTGCAATAAGTACAGCCATGCCCTGTGGCTCTGCCCCTTGGCACTTACAGCCAGGAGTGGGGACCACCACTATGGAAAGCATCAAAGCAATTCAGGTGTCCAGTTGAACAATGCAGTGAGTCAAAGGTGGCCCACTACTGACAGTTCCATATTGTTCAGTCTGATGGAATTGCTGCTGTCATAGTTGCTATGAAGACATGTGGGGCTGTGCAGGGCAAGGAGACACCAGGGAGAGTTAGGAAGGGCCATGGGAACCATGAATTTTGTTCTGTGTCCCCACAACAGTGGCAAACAAAAGTACAGTCATCCCTTGGTGTCATGGGGGATTGTTCCAGGACTCCTGTGTATGCCAAAATCCAAGGATGCTCCTGTCCCTGATATAAAATGGTGTAATATTTGCATATAACCTACACATATCCTCCTGTATACTTTAAATCATCTGTGGATTCCTTATAATACCTAATACAGTATAAATGCTATGTAAATAGTTAAACTGTATTGTTGAGGAATAAAAAGAAAAAAGTCTGTATATGTTCAGTACAGACACATCATCCTTTTTTTCCTCAAATATTTTCTACAGTTGGATGAATCCACGGACATGGAACCTACAGATATGGAGAGCTGACGGTGCTTTACGATGGGGCTGAGGTGTGACATGATCAGATAAAATGACCACCACTCAAGAACAAACTGAGGGAAGCAGGGAGCCAGTTAAGAAGCCACTGCAGGTGTCCATGAGATGTGATGGGGGGATGGAGCAGGAGGAGCCCCAACCACTGTGCCCAGCCCCAAGGGCCAGGGCTAGGGGGGTGGGGTTGGGTAGGGGCTTGGACCCTGGCTCCAAGTACAGCTGGAGTACAGCTGGACCCAAGCCAGGCCTCCCCATCCCAGCTGCGCAGTTACAAAGAGAGACCAGGCAGGCAGGTAGAAAACAACTGTGTTTAATGACAGTCCTCAGTTAAAAAAAAAAAAAAAAAGGCTTTGGACACACATTTACATGGCTTTGGAAGATAGCAGTGCTGGGATGAGGGCTTTGGAAGGACCCAGCCCAGGACAGGATTGAGGTATGTTGGGGCCTCCAGGGCCTGCGGTCTCCTGCAAGAAGCACCCCCCGCCCCCAGCCGGCTGTGGACCTTTTGGCCTGCATCCTGCGGAACAGCTCCAGCATCACCAGCAGGAAGACAGCCAGATGCAAGCACCTACCCAGAGCTGACTTCTCAGGAGAGGGCCATGCCCCATGGTGCAGTTGCTTGGCCAGGGCTGAAGGCCTCAGGGGCCTGGCTCCACTGCTCCAGCGCCAGCTCCTGGCAGGAACCTCACAGCAGGGATTGAGTGAGGACACTCCAGTTCCCTCAGCCCTGCCAAGGTCCTACCCTGAGAGACAGGAACAGAGACAGAAAGCAGCCAGGTTTGACCAGGACCTGCACAGGTGGGGCGGCGGCAGTCCCAGGCCGCCCTCACTCTTGAGTAAAGCCAAAGCCTCCCTGCCTAGTCCGAGACGGTCGCTGGCAGGTGACCACGGCCTGCGTGGCCCTCCCTGCAATTGTCATGGTGATTGCGCCCCCACCCCACCCCCCTGAGGAGACATGGGCTTGGTCCCATGCCTGGTGCCCACAGCCACAAAGATGGCTGCGGGTCTCTAGCCTGATATCCTGGGCCTGGCAGGGGTCAGCACCCCTGAGGACACCCAAGCTGTGGTCAGAGGAAAGTGTTGGCAGCCTCAGCACAGCCAAAGAAGTCGGGGCCCACGCGGCGGGGGAAGCCTTCCAGAGCCTTCACTTTCACAGGGTCAAATTTCCAGTAGAGGCGGCCACGTAGGAAGTAGGCATAGCCTGAAAAGAGAAGGTCAGCCCTGAGTGAATGGACACTAGGCCGAGGGACAGGCACAGGGGAGGGTTGGGTGGGCAGGCTTTGGCTACTGCTGGGTTCCTTGCAGGATCCAAGGTTGGCCTTCCAGAACGCCCTTCCGCCTGCCCCAGGGTCTGGTCCCACCTTACAGCTTCCTGGAACTTCAGTGGCTCAAGTCCTCCCTCTCAAGGAAGCAAGTCCCACTGCCTTTACCGCCCACTATGTCATTCTCTCCTGCAGCCCCAACCAAACTACACATGGGTTTCCTGGAGTCCTAGAGCCTGAGGCCACCCCAGGACAGCTCTCCCAGCAGGTCCCAATGTGGGGGAGAGAGCACTGGACTTTGAGTCTTGACCTGGCTCTAGTCCTTTGCGATTGTGGGAGGCTGGGTGGTTCAGTGGTTATGAGCAGAGACTGCCTGGGTGAGAGTTCTGGCCCTGCCACTGTCCACCTGGATGCTCCTGGTTAGAGGCCTCATTGTCGGAGCCTCTGTTTGCTCCCCTGGAAATTGGGTTCATAACAGGTGAGATGGCTGTTCTGAGACGTGCACGAGACTTGTAAAGAGCTTAGGGTTGGGCCTGGGCCATTGTCAGCCCTTGGTGTGCCTCGGTTATTATTTTCCTGGCTGTGACCAAGGGACTGGGGCAAGACTCTGCACTTCTCTGGCCCTCAGCCTCTTCATCTGCAATACAAGATATAGTACTGGCTGGCCACCAGGAGGAGGACAGATGGCGCTAGACAAAGGCCCAGCCACCACTGGGCAGGAGATGGGGCTGCTGCACCCACCTCCCGCCAACCGCCCCACCCCCAACACACCGTCGGCATCCTGGAAGGCAGCGTCAATCTCAGAGGGCACCCCTCGCCAGTCGGTGGCCCGGCGGGGCACGGGGCTGTCCACACGCTGGGTGCTGGGATGGAAACGCCAGTAGTCGCCGCCTCGGAAGAAGTAGATCTTGTTCTTCTCAGGACCCCAAACCAAGGCGGCGTGGATCGGGGATCCCACCAGACCCAGCTCGGAGAGGGGTGCGGGGCCCAGGACTGGCTTCTCACCGTCGTACACCCAGTACTGAGCTCCTGCCGGAGAGAGGAGGCTGCAAGGAGCTGCTAAGCCACCACTGCCACGCCCAGCACCATGGACCTCATCGGCCACCACCACAGATTCTCCCAGCCTGTTTCCTTGTCCGTAAAACATGGGGGCCAATAGTGTCTGCTCAGCCCAGAGGGAAGTGGGAGGCAGCTGGGAAGAGCAAGGGTGAAGGCTCTGTAAAGTGCCACTGGGTGGGTGGGGCTCCTATAGCCAGCAGATGGCTGCCTGGGCTCCTGCCCCTTGCCCTGGCATTTGGCTGTCTGTGACAGATGCCTGCTGACCACTCCCTGGGCCCCGCTGCCCTGAACCCACGTGCAGGCTTCCACACCACACCTTTGCTTCTGAAGTCTCTGGCACCTGGAGGGCTCCAGAGTCTCATCTCTGCCAGCTGAAGGTTGAAATCACAGCTCCAAGGTCTCAGACCTGGATCAGATCCCTGCCTGTCTTTTCCAACCTGCAGCCTCAGTGAGTCACTTCGCTGCCTCTGAGCCCCAGAGGCCTCATGTCTAGCACCCTGCCCCATGGGGTAGCTTTGAGGGCTGGATGCGCCAGCCCACGGCCCAGATGCGCAGTACCATCTGTGCTGCTCCCGTCTCCAGAGCTGCCTTCTCTGGAGCCTCCTGACTGTGCTCGAGGAGTGAGTCACACTCTTCCTTGGTGGGACAGCCTTTGGGATACCCTGTCCCTCCCTACTGCGTCCCTGGGGATCTGTCTGTCTATCCCTACCCTTGGCGTGACATTCCTGGCTCCAGGAAGGAAATTCCTTGAGCAGACCCTCCACCTCCACTCACCTTGGAAAAACCAAATGTGGCCCTGGGCATCCTCGAAGGCTGCATCCACAGGGCTGGGCAGTCCCTGCCAGTGGCGAGTGGCCAGTGCCGGGTAACCAGGCTGCAGCCGGCCCCCACGCAGCCGCCACACGAAGCCCGCCTTGAAAAAGAAGAGCTCACCCCGGATGGTGGAGACTGCATCGAAGGAGGCCTCGCAGGCATCTGGTGGGGTTTCCGGCTTGAGGGGAGAGGGGCCTGTGCTGAGGGCACACGCTGCAGCCACAGGGCCCCACCTTTGGGCATCCCACCCTCCTGAGCCTCACCTCCAGCGGTGCAATCTCGTTAGTGTCCATCCCAGCCCGGGGACCTGGCGCCGGGGCCCTGGAGGTGGGGGCAGGCCGGGGCTGGCCATATAGGTGTTGGATGCCCCTGCGGTCATCTGGGCTGAGGCTCAGTGGGTAGCGGAAGGTGTAGAAAGGGGACATCAGGGCCTTGGCTGCTGTTGTGTGCTGCAGCCCCAGCACGTGGCCAAACTCGTGGGCTGCCACCTGCAACAGATCTGTGCCTGGAGAAGGGAGATGGGTCAGTGACCCCTGGACCTCCTGCCACAAGACACCCATGTTCTGGACCCCAGCTCAGGGACCTTGGCAAGTATCCATTCTCTATGACCTTGACTTGCACCACCTGGAAAATGGGTACCCAGCCCATACCCTGGTTGTCCCCGACAGTCCAGGTCTCGTCATAGTCAAAGTGGACGTCCCCTTCTCGGTGGGTCTTGGGGAAGAAGGCGTGGGCCAGAATGCCCCCAGGCCCGTCAAATGGCAGGTTGTCCCCATGCCAGTACCTGTGGCAGGTGGGGGCAGAGTCAGTGACGGCTGGCAGCTGGCAAGCAGGGCTGTTCCCTAAAGGATCCCAGGCCGACAATCACCTGGTGAAGTCGATCATGATGTCGGCGTGGCCCTCGTGCACCTCAGTGAAGGTGAGTGGTGTCACCTCGCTCCATACCTGCAGGGCCTCTGCCACTGTCTGCCGCACCTGCTCCTGCACCAGCTGCCACGGGAACCGGAGGATCCTGTGGGGAGGCAGAGGGGCCTGGGCCTCAAGGCAGGGACAGCCCCTGATGGCTGAGGGGTCAGGAGTTGCCCCTAAGTGCTCGGTGGGTGTGTACACTTGGGACATGGCCGAGTACACTGTGGGCCTTGGGCGCAGCACACCAGTCTCCCTGGCCATGTAGACACGTCTTTGCGTGGGTTTGTGTGTAGTTACAAGTGTACAGGTGTCTGCATTTGGTGGAAAGAACACAGGGCCAGGAGTCCCAGGACCCACATTCTAGACCTGACAGTGCCACTCACTATGGGGAGAGTGGCCCTTGAGCCACTGGCCCCTTGAGCCCCCTCTTGGATCCAAGGTCCCCACCCAGGAATTCCCTGAGGACCCTGCAGTCTCAGTCCCAACGCCGCCGTGAGACACCACACCGTTCTTCCCTCCAAGGCTGAGTGCCGCCTGCAGGATGTGGCGCCTCAGCCTCCCCAGCACCTGCCCTGGGCCGCCTGGGTCACGCAGTGCGGAGCCAGCTCCTGCCTGCCCTGCTCCCCGCCATCTCCACCGGCACCAAGCCCAAGTCCAGCAGTGACGTGGCTGACGCCAGCCTTCCCAAGACAACAGGGCTGTGTCTGCCGTCTCCACCGTGGAGTCCTGGGCCTGGCCCTTATAGGGCCCTAGTAAAGGCTGCCTGGGTCCCTCCGCAAGCGTGTGCTGAGACCCCTGGGGCGATGACACAGGCACTTCCCTCTGCTGCGGGAGGGTATCCGGGTGAGGTGTCGTGCATTCCTGTATGTGTCCTCGGACGGCAGGGGGCTCAGTGGGCACATAGGTCCATCAGCCACACAGATCTGGCCCTGGTGTGTGTCTCAAGAAGCAGCTGTGAGGGGGGCAGGCTCACACTCGGGGACACGGCACCCTTGAGTCCCACTCGCGCAGCCCCAGCCCCTACCTGTAGGTGAGGTCTGTCTTCTCCCAGCGCCCACCCGACAGCACGAACCGCTTCTGCCGGTTGCGGGCGCTCAGCCCATTGGGTGGGTCGGGTACACCACAGCGGGGGGGCCTGGGGCCGCTGGCAGGCCGGGGGGCCTCCTGGGTGGCAGGGGCAGGCACCAGGCTACTGGGCAGAGCTGCATGCCAAGACTGTGGCCCCCTCGTCACGGAGCGGCGGCCGTGTGCATCCTGGGCAGGAGAGAGAATACGAAGGCCTGGTCAGGCCTCAGGCGTGGCCTGCAGGCACAGGCGTGGCCTGTTAGCACGCCCAGCGCAGCCCGCCCGGCGTGTGGCCGCATAGACAGGGATGGAAGACGCCACCACACAGCAGGGGCCTTTGGCACTGGGCTGACTCTGGGGGGCTGGAGGGAACAGGAAGAACTTGCTTGGTGTTTCCCCAAGAGCGTTTTGGGGTTCACTCCTAGGGGTGTGTGGAGAATAGTCAGGGGCTCATAGCCTGACACCTCATTCCAAGGCACCAGGCTGCCTCCCCACCCCGCCCGCCCCTCCCCGGAGGGCTCTGGGCTGCCTGCCACCTATTCACCTACTCCCGAAACTCAGGCCAGTGAGGTCTGGGTGGGGGTGCACTGGCTATGAGCCCCTGACTGTATCCTCCCACACCCCCAGGAACGGCCCCCAGATGTTCTTGAGGAAACACCAGACAAGTTCCTCCTGTCCCCATCCACGCCCACACCCCCCCCCCCACAAACTCATTTCCACCTCCCTTTCTTCACTCAGGCACACCTGGGTCACCCTGCTCTGCCTCCCCGGTCATGTAAGTGGCTCTGCCATCTCCCCTGCCCAGGATGTCCCCCTCCTCCCCCAGGGCAGAGGGGCTGCAGCCCTGGAGCGTGGCCTTGGTCTGCTCACCTGGCCAGTGGGGCTGGCGGCAGCTCCCCAGCGTGTTCACCTGAGGACTGGACAAGGCAATGTGTGTGGAGCACTTAGCACAGGCCAGGTCCCCGGCAAGGGCACCTGGTAACTGAGGCCTGACTTCTATCACATCCCACCAGGGCCGGGTGCATGGTGGTAGCTAGATCTGTGATCTGCCTGCCATGCAGGGAGGGCGGGACAGCCAGTTACCAGGCACCCAGGCCCACCTGCTGAAGCCCCAGGAGCACAGGTGCAAGCGCAGTGATCTAAGCTACATCCTCCTACCCTTTGCAAGTCCCCAGGGCAGAAGTCATAGTTCTTGTGCATGAGAAAAACAGAAGGTCAGAGAGGGTGGGTGACCCTGTGAGGTCACCCGGCAAGGGTGTGGCAGGATCATGAGCAGACCCTGGCATCCCAGGCCTAAGACTGAGGCCTGGCTGAGAACTGCACAGAGCTACGTCTCCTTCCTGCACTGCAGGAGAAGGATGGAGCTGTGCTGTCTGTGGGAGACTGAGCACCTGTCTGATCTGGGCGACCGCAGCCTTGGCACAGCCATATTTGGGGCGGGAGCCCGCCACTCAGGCCCCGCCTCACCCTCAGCCTCTGGCAGCTGCCCCAGGCCCCAGACGCCCCAGTCAGCATCCCAGGCCTGCGAACCCCTGAGCCCTGGGCTGAGGACTCAACTCCCAAGAACGTCCCAATAGGAAGGGGCCTTCTGAATGTGGGGGCTATGGAAGTATTAATGGCGTGAGACCCTGGTGCCACTTCCCCACTTCCAGAGCTTGCTTGTTGCGTAGTTACATGGCCTAGCACGGCCCCACTGGGATGTGGTTCCAGCCGATTCTGGGTGTATTGTTTTTTGTTTGTTTGTTTTTTGAGACAGAGTCTTACTCTGTTGCCCGGGCTAGAGTGCCGTGGCGTCAGCCTCACTCACAGCAACCTCCAACTCCTGGGCTCAAGCGATCCTCCTGCCTCAGCCTCTCAAATAGCTGGGACTACAGGCATGCGCCACCATGCCCGGCTAATTTTTTCTATATATTTTTAATTGTCCAGCTAATTTCTTTCGACTTTTTTAGTAGAGACAGAGTCTCGCTGTTGCTCGGGTTGGTTTCAAACTGAGCTCAAATGATCCACCGGCCTCTGCCTCCCAGAGTCCTAGGATCGTGGGTGTGAGCCACTGCACCCGGCCATGGGCTTATTGTTAATAAGTACGCTGCAGGCCAGGCCCCTGGTATCTGTGGACATGCTTTTAGCCTCAATGGAACTTCTCATCAACGCCACTGTCATCGCCCCCATTTCTCAGATGAGGTAATGGATCCCAGAGAAGATAAGAAACTTATTCTGGTGACAGCGGGCAGGTAGCGGACTGTCTGTGCTCATGGCCCACCCCGCTCCCTGCTGCCTGTGTTCTGCTCTTCAGGGCTTGAGTCATCCTTCCTTAATGACACCTTAGTGACAAAAGAGAAGGAATGAGACATTATTGAGCACCTGCTGCTTCCCAGGCATTCTGGGGCCAGGCTTGCTGAGGGTCAGTAGGGTGGGCACGATTCACATGCAAGGTCTCACACTGAGGACACTGACCCCAGGTCTGTGGACTGGCCACAGGGCCTACCCCTTCCCTGCCATGCTGCCCTTGACCTATAGGAGAAAGGGATTCCTTCCCCCAACCCTGGCAGGGGTACAAAGACCCTCCCTGGGAAGGGCGGAGCTTCATTGTTCCCTGGGAGCCCCAGGCGGCCCAGAGTGCAGCCTGCCTGCTCTGCTTATGGTGGTGGCCTCTGCCTCTGCCCTCGGTAAGCCTGCGCAGCCAGCTTGGTGGGACATCCGTGGAGCCATGGCCACACCCCACACACCCTCCACTGTCCCTTCCTCTCCTTTCCCACAAGGCACCAAGTCTTCTGCGTCCCGGCCTGCTCAGTGCAGGACAAGAGCCAAGCTCTGTAGTTCAGAAGGCCTAGTTCTATGCCATGGTGACTCTGGACACGTGTCCTCTCTTAGCCTCAACTTCCCCATCTGTCAAATGGGGGTGGTGCCATGGCACAGGGCTGCGTGACATCCTTCTGTAACACCTGCTGCTGCTGCTGGCAGAGAAGCACCTCTTACCTGCCCTGCTCCCTGCCCTGTAGGCCCTCCCCTCCCCTTGCCAAAGTCTCTATGGCACCTCCCAGCCACCGCACCTCCAGCTCCCCCTCAAAATCTCCATACTAAAATGGTAAAACAGAAGTCGCAGTGAGGGGAGCTCCCAGGCCCAGAGAAGAAAAGCTCCACATGCAGGTTCTCCCGACAGGGCAGAGGCCCCCTGCTCCCCCGCCATGTCCCATGCCTTGACCTTGGAGCGTGAGCGAGCAGGAAACGCTGGAATGCAGGGCTCCAGCAGGTGCAATTTTTTCTTTTCTTAGGGCCCATCATTTTCCAGCTCTTGGCCTAAGTTCCCCATCACTGGGATGTGACAAACACTCCTGGCCTCCCTTGCTGACCTCCCACACTTCATCTTTTAGAGTCCTCTCTGGCTGGGCCAGATGAGGCAGCTGCCGATTCCCAGGATGGGTGTGCTCAGTGCTCCCAGGAATACAAGATTCAGTGAGGATGGGGGCACAGTCCACTCCTGGCCTCTTCTGCAGCCTTGCAGAGCAGGCATCCTCCATTTTGCAGAGGACGAAACAGAGCCCAGAGAGGTCAAGGACTTTGCCCAGGGTCACACAGCAGGTCAGAGAAGAGCAGGGCCTGGACATGGGGCTCATGCCTCCCACTCTGGAGCTTTCCCCTACTGCACCCCCACAGCCCACTCTTGGCTTACCTCCAAAACCCACATTCCTGAGGAGTTTCTGCTCCCAGTGCATTCCCTCCTAGGCCAGCAGCCGCTCTGTGGTGGGCCTGGCTGGCCCAGCCCTGCCCTCGTCTGGCAGGCATCAAGCCACAGCCTGAGACACACTCAAGGGATTTCTCCACGGACCCAGTCTTTTGGCGGAGCTCGGAGACTCAGGGCGGCCCCTGAGTCAACTTCCAACCCAGACAAACAGCAGCAGCAGACAGGGGACAAAAGGAGGACCCCAGGCTAGGAAACCACCGGGGAAGGCCAGACTACTTGTGCCTCTCTCTGGGCCTCAGTTGCTATCTGTCCAATGGGATAAGTAATCAGAGTTGTGCCTTCTGCTGTTCAGAGGTGAGCCTGAATGGGGGCACTTGGCTAGGCTGTGAGGAGCACGGGAGCATCACCACGCTGTTCTATGCAGCATCCTGTCCCTCTGAGGCCCAGAGAGGTCAAGCGACCTGCCAAGTCACACGGCCAGTTGGCAAGCAGGTTTACCTTCCCCCCCAAGCTTCCTCCTAAATGCCCCCTCCCCCTCCCCTGCTGCCTCCGGGAGGGGGGCAGCTTTGTCACACTGGGCTTCGGGGCTTTCATCAACCCTCAACGCTGCGAACTGGGATGGATAAATATTTACAGAGCTCTCCTGGCCCTGCTGACAGCAACCTCGGTATAAACACATCAGAGGTGACCCCAAATGCTCCCGGTGAGTCTGCAGAGTGACAGACAACAGCTCAACTCAGATCCCACCCTGGGCTGGCTCCCAGCCCCAGAGATGACCCTGCACAAGCATCAGAGTGGCAGCTCCAGGTGACAGAGTATCTCCAGTGTGCCTGGCATCACCTTCTTTCATCCTCAGTGCTCAGCACGTACTGTCACCCCCTCTCGCCCCCCCGCATTGCAGATGGAGCGGGTGAGGTTCTGAGGCATAAGAAGGCTCACCCAGGTCACGTGGTTCAAACACAGATCTCTCCAAGTCCCACACCGTGGGGTCAACGGCTACCCAGGGTGACTGGTGCCTTGAAGCCCAGCTCAAGGGAAGGTGCAGCCTTTGGGACAGACACAGGCTGTCACACACCCTGCTGACGGTTCCTCGTATCCTCACTCTGCCACTCCCTCTTACCTGGACTTTCTTCTGCGCTTCGGAGCACAGTCTCCTTCCATTTCTCTCCCCACCCTTTTGCCCTCTGAGGATCTCAGCCACCTTCTCAGCTGCCCCTTCTCTCTGACGCCCACCTCTTGGTCACGCACGCTGCACTCATGCCATCTCAGACTGGTGCTGTCCTGGCTCCCAGCCTCCCAAACTTCCTGCCGGCAGGTGCACAGGGGCAGCGCCTCCTCCAGGCTCAGACCCTATTCCCCCAGCCCGGCACTGCCCTCCCTGGCGCTTCCTTTATCCTCCGTCCCACTGCGCACCTGGAGGTGCGCTCACTGTGGCCACACCTGCAGGCTGACACCCGCCTGTGACCTGCTCTGCTTTGTCCCTGGGATGAACAGGGGGCCCCGTAAGCAGTCCCTCTGCTACCTCGCCCAACATTACCCCAGCATCCGCGGCTGGGGCGCAAGGGGCACGTCCCTGCGCTAGGAGGGGGCGTGAGTCCAGCGTGGAGTCCTGCTCACCAGTCCCAGCCATCCCGGCGCAGGCTCCCTTTGCATACTCCCAGGGACGGGACGCTCACTGTCTATCACACCCACAGGGAACCAGAAAGCGCTTCTGGTACGGGCCGCATCAGGCCACCCGGGGCGCCCTCCTGGGTCCAGATCGGCCGCTGGGCCCAGCCCGCGTGCCCGGCGCCCCCTCGGCGAGGAGCGGCCGGCGGGCGGCGGGCACTCACCGGCGGCCAGGCCCGGGCCAATAGCGGTGGCGGCAGGAGCAGCAGCAGCAGCGGGAGCAGGAGGGCGCGTGAGGCCGCGCCGCGGAGCCCGGCGGCCCGAGCCATCCGCCCCGGGGCTGCTGGGCCTGCTGGGCCGCGCCGGGCCATCGCCCCTTATAGCCTCCGCCCCGCCCCCGGCCCGCCCGGCCCCGCCCCCCGCCGCCTTTTGTTCTAACTCTCCCGGCGGCCAGGGCCAGGGTGGGGGAGGTGGACGGGAAGGGCTGGCCCGGTGGGCTGGCCGGAGACAGAGTCCTGTCCCGGGGTGGGCCAAGCTGCTGTCTTCTCAGGCCGGGTGCTGGGTGCCCCTGGCCAGCCGGGCCACTCTGGGCCTCAGTTTCCCCGCTGTGTGGTGGAGTTCCAAAGCCTTAAACCCAGTAAGAGTCTGAGAGGAGTCGGGTTTCATTCCTCTCGATCCCTACCCCCTCCTTTGAAAGGCGCATCCCGCTGGGTCTCCTTGGTGGCCTGACCTCTGACCTTCTGCTAGCCTGTGACAGGTGGCCCTATCCTTGAGCAAGTTCCCCCACCCCTCAGAACCTCATCTGGAAGATGGCACAATAGCCCCATTGAGGAAAGGGATATTAAAATGTGCCCCAGGAGAAACTGAGACACATTGTAGGGGCTGGCCAACTGTGCAGCTTGCGACAAAATCATGGACAAGGTATAGATGGGGAAACTGAGGCTCCCAGAGGGAGGGGCCAGCCTTTTCCATGTCAGCAGGCAAGTGGAGGGATCAGAAGGCCCTCCAGCTGGTCAGGAAGAGGAGGGTGCTGTGAGAAGGCTGTGGAGGGTGTCCGAGAGGGGCACTGGGGGCCCAAAGTGTCCCCTGGTCAGGGCCAGCCACCTGAGACAGGAGGGAGAGGAGGTGAGTTTGGGAGGGGGTGGTGTCCACATTCTGGAAAGGATTCTCCAGTCTTATCCCTAATTTGCAGAGGGTACCCAATCCTGCTGTACACCCCTGCAATGATGAAGGGCCTCACCACCTCCCCAGGCAATCTGCTCTATCACGGGTAGCCCTACAAGCCAAGAGCCAGGCTGAGGCTCCCATCCAGCTGGCAGGGTCCTGAGCTGCTGGCTGCTGTAAGGGGAGGCTGTGTGCAGGCAGCATGGGCCAAAGAAGGGAAGGGGGTGCTTCACGGCTTCTGGAGAAGACTCCACAGGGACTCCTAGAGAGCAAGGAGAGGCAGGACAGAGTCTCCCTCTGTCACCCAGGCTAGAGTGCAGCGGCATCATCATAGCTCATAGCAACCTCAAACTCCTGGGCTCAAATGATCCTCCTGCCTCAGCCTCCAAGTAGCTGAGACTACAGGCATGTGCCATGACACCCGGCTAATTTTTCTATTTTTAGTAGAGATGGGGTCTCACTCTTGTTCAGGCTGGTCTCCAACTCCAAAGCACAAGCAATCCTCCCACCTTGGCCTCCCAGAGTGCTAGGATTACAGGTGTGAGCCACCTCGATGGGCCAGCAATGATTTTTATTCCCTAGACTGCTGGCAATCTTTTTCTTTAAAGTGACTCATTTTTAAAAAGTAGTCACTTCAATGTTTGATTCAGCTTCATCTTACCAACACTGGCCAAGAAATCATGGGTTTGATGAGCTGTTTATACATTATTATGATACATATGAAAATACATAATTATTTAAATAAAAATATTCATTTGTGTGACACCTTAAATGGTCTTGAGTGCCTCCGGGGTTACGCAGCCATGCCTTGTGGAACCTGTAGGCCACCAGCCATGACAGCTGAAGTAACAACCACCCTCAGTGACAGTCCAGGGGTCACCATGACAACCCAACAGTGCACCCAGCAAGGTGTGGTGGTCAGGAAGGGCTTCCTGCAGGAGGAAGACCCTGAGAGCTAGAAGGATGGTTTAATTTTGCAAATGGGAACAGGTGGGCAGGGACTGCACGAGCTGCTGGACCAGGCCTACCATGTCTTCGAGGAGAGAATGGCCCACTCTTCACAGGCTCACCTCTCTGAGAGGCCACCCTCAGGTGGGTGGTCACCCTCACTTCAGTGAGAAGACTGAAGGTGGGTCAGTGGAGGGCCCTGCTTCCCAAGCTGGCTGAAGGGATTAAAGCTCGGTAAGAACACAGCCTTGCACCTGACTTTCACGGCTAGTATGCATGGCCGGGAACAGCGCCGCACACACACAAGCCAGCTCCCTCTCTCCTTGCCCCTTTGCCCCTCCTGCTAACAGAGGGACCTCCTCTCCTTCCGTAGAGACAGACGCTCCCCCTTCCCGGATGCTTTTGCTCTTGGTGACTTCACCTTCCCCACAATACCCGTGCCAGGCTGCCTCCCCGGCACATGGGACAGTGATGAAGGAGGGTTCCTCCCTGCCCCCACCTAGAAGTAATAATATGACCACTGCAAAGTCAACCAGAAAAGACCATAACAACCTCAAGTCTCTGAGGGGCAGAGAAGTGTCTAAATCCGCGCGCCCCCAGCCTCACCTTGGCCAGGTACCAAGGCGCTAAAATCCCGAGGCTGCAGGATTCAAACCTGAACTTGGTTTGACCCGAGTCGCGCAAAGGCCTCTCGGAGCTCAGGTCACGACCTCTGGGGCAGAGACGAGGCTTGAAAGTCGCATGATCGCCGTCAGTGTCCGGCGCTGCACCCAGGGGGCCAGCGAGGTGGACGTCGGGACCCCGTGGAGTTAAGGGTCTCACGGGGTCCTGGTCCCGCCCGCGCCAGCCGCACTCTCTGGTCCGGAGAGTCCCAGAGCGGTGGGTCGCCCTCTGGCGGGGTTCCGGGGAACGGGTCGCTCCAGGCCTTCCCCAGGGACGCTCGTCCCCGCTCTAGGCCGCCCGGGTCCCCGAGGCCACGCGGGGGTCAGCAGACGGTGTCTGGTGCGAGGGAGCAGGGAGCGGCCCCAGCCTGGCGCCGCGCACCCCGTCCCCGGCCAGTCTCAGCCGGCCACCTCGCTGTCTCCTCTCCCCGCCGGGGCGCCCGGCACCCCCAACTCCACTCCCTGCACTCCTCGGTGGCGGAAGGACCTGGCCCTGTCGCCCTTGCCCAAGCCCCCAGCGCTCTGCAGCAGTGGCCTGTGTCCCCAGGGCCTGCTCGGCTCCGGTCAGGAGCACGAAGGGCTCCAGGCCCTATTTCCGGCCGAGCCCGGCGCCTACACCAGCGGTCTTCGGAAGGGAAGGGTCCGGGACCGGGAAACCGCGACCGGGGCGGGGCTTGCGGGGAGCACCGCCTCCCGCCGGGGCGTGTCCTCAGGCCCCGCCCCAGGCCCCGCCTCTCTGCGCCCCTGGAGGGAAGCGCCGCGGCGTTGATCCTCGCGACAGAAGCGCCACTGCTGTCTCCGACCGAAGTCGGCCGCGTCCCGCCACCGCCGCCATGCCTCGGGGGAGTCGCAGCGCGGCCGCCCGGCCAGCCAGGTGTGACGGACACTAGGGCACCGTGGGGAGGGGGCTTGGAAAGCGTGGGCCGTCCCCCAAGGGCGTCCGCAGAGTGACCTTGGCTGCTACTGCGCCATCTTGGCGGGGGGAGGGGCAGGGGCACGATAACCGCCTGAGACCCGGGTCGCCCACCTCCCCGGGAACTGAGGGTGTCGTTTCGAGGAGCTGCAGGCCCCTCGGGACCCTAGTCTGAGTTCCGGCGGGGATTGACCGTGCTCCCTCCCGCCCCCGCAGCCGCCCTCCCACGCACTCTGCCCACCCGCCCGCGCACCCACCGCCCTCGGCAGCCGCCCCGGCCCCCGCCCCGTCGGGCCAGCCGGGCCTCATGGCTCAGATGGCGTCCACGGCAGCAGGGGTAGCCGTGGGCTCGGCTGTGGGACACGTCGTGGGCAGCGCCCTGACCGGAGCCTTCAGCGGGGGAGGCTCGGAGCCCGCCCCCGCCCAGCCTGCTGCCCAGCAGGTGAGCAGCGGGCCCAGGAGAAACTAAGGCAGGGTTTTCTCAAGGCCACACAGGGAGCTGCAGAAGTGTCCAGTGAGAAGTGTCTGAGTGTATGCAGAATTGCTGCAAGCCCAGCACTTTGCCCAAGGAGGGTCCTACTCCTCAGTCTGCTAATGAGCTCACTGTCACTTAAAGGCACCTTCCCAGCCCTCCCTTGAGGCCAAGGTCTCTAGGCTCCCAGGGAGAAACACCAACCAGCCATTTAAAGATGGGAGAACTGGGGCTGGAGGGGCTCAGAGACCCACCTAAGGTCACCTAACGCTAGAGAAGAGAGGGATGTTAAATTTCCTGAGCCACACTCAGATCTAGCACAGTGGCCCCTGGGCCCAAGGGCAAAGCACAGCTTTCCCTAATGACCTCTCCCCCACTGGGGCCCCAGCCAGCCCTAAGACAAATTTGGCTTAGAAGCTGGGTCAGGGGTCATGAGGATCAGTGTGGCTGAGCCAGGAAGGTGCTAGAACTCGTGGGGGTAGGGCTTATACTCCCAGATTACATGCCTAGTACTTTTCTAGAGACTTCTCCCTCTCCTGCACCTGTTCAGTGTGCCCATTCATTATAAGGCAGCAGAGAAATGCTGTCTGTATCAGCTGCTGCTGGCTCACCTGTTTCAGGAATGGAGCAGCTGAGGCAGCCTGGTCCTGGGTTACTCAGCCTGCCTGGGACCCACGGGACACCCGACCTGGGGCTGTGGGGAGGGGCAGGTGGCCCCCAGCTTAGGAACCCCCACCTCTAGCAACCCTAAGCTGATGCTGTGGTCTCTTATACTGTACTCCCAGGCCCCTGCTCACACTGCCCCCCAGCCCCTGCAGATGGGGGGGCCCTGTGCCTACGAGATCAAGCAGTTCTTGGAGTGCTCGACCACTCAGAGTGACCTGTCCTTGTGTGAGGGCTTCAGCGAGGTCCTGAAACAGTGCAAGTACAACCATGGTGAGAGAGCCAATCCTGGTCCTGGAGGGGAGTAGGAGGGGCAGATCCTCTTCTTGCAAGTGCAAGCTGACCACCAGCCTGTGCTGCCCCTCCCTCCACAGGTCTGAGCTCCCTGCCCTGAAGAGGCTGATGCAGACCAGGGGCTCGGGGCAGCCCTGCACCCACCTCCACCCCCTCACTGACAGCTGGACCACAACGCCAGATTATACCTGTGTAGCTGGGATTGGGAGTGAGGAGGGGGTTTCTCATCCCACAGATAAACCAAGACACAAATGTGCAATTAAAAGAGTTTATTTTAGACCACAGCCTGCTGTGTGCCCTGTCGCTGATCCATCTGCTGGGAGCTCCCTGACTGAGGAGGTTGGGGTCAGGGGAGATGGATGGATCTCTCACTCTGGTGTAGAATGCTTCACTTTAATAGAATGCTTCACCTTAAGCGGGCATCTTGGGTGGGGCGTCCTGGGTGGGGTGGGAGGAGCCCTGTTGTAATCTGCACCACCGGTAGCCAAGGTCAGACTGCCTTGGGCAGTCCAAAGTGGGGTGGTGAGGCATTAGCAGGTGACCCCAAGGGCATCTGAGTCTGGGGGCTGGAATCCTGGGAGAAGCCTATTGTCTCCCCTTTTCAGGGATGCCTGCCCCCTCCCACCCTTCTTGTCTCTGCCTTTGGATCCCTTTCTCTGCACCCACATCTTAGGGGCCCCCAGCGGCCTCACGTCCTGTCTGTGACCTTGCCCCTCTTGCTGATGCAACTTCTCAGTAATTCCAGATTCTGCAAGAGGAATCCTGCTGGGCTGCTGTCTGTTTGCACCTGATCACACAAGGCAGAGGTCATGGTCAACTTCCTTGGGTCCCAGTCCAGCTTGGCCACTTGGCTATGGTGTGCTAGTTCCCCGGGCCTGCCAGAGCAGAGGAGCAGGCCCTCAGACCCAGTGCAGGCTGCTCCGTCACACATTGAGCTGCCACCTTTGTTGAGCTCATTCAACAGCTGTGCACTGAGGACATTCCTGCCCTTCTCCAGGGGGTGGTGGGACCTGTCTCTAGATACAATGTGTTCTATCTTGGGGGTATGTGTGGGTAGAGTTGGCATTGAGTGTGTCTGTCCCCCAGGAAGGGGTCCCACGCTGGGTATGTCTCCCAGGGTGTCCATATCTCCTCCATACCTGGCTCCTGGCCCCAGCTAGCGAGTCCTGGACGGCAGGGAGCCCACCCTTCTGGGCCTTGAAGGGGGTCCTTGCTCCTGGTGGCCACGGCGTGTGCCCAGGCGCCTCCTCCGGCCCTGGCCCCTTGGGAGGCCCGACAGCCAGCGCAGCTCCTCTGGAAGGCCCAGGAAGCCCTGCTGGTGGGGCTGGGAAGAAGATGTGCCCTCCCCCCAGGGCTCTACCCTAACACTCACCTGCCAGCTCTGGACACTGGTCATCCAGGTTCTCCAGGAGGGACTCATAGCGGGTGGGAGCCCCGCCCTCTCCCCCTATGGAGTGTGGAGAGAGGATGAAGGACCCCTGACCTTATGGTCCCCACCTTGACCTGTCTACCTGTCACTCTGGGCCTGCTTGATGGGCCAGGTTGGGGACTGGGATAGAGCACTGGGTAGGCACAGGTTGGGGCCAAAGTGGGGTGCTGGGTAGGGCCTTGGGTGGTCTGTGGTCTGCTGTGTCCCCCTTCCATTCCTACATAGCCACAGGGGAGAATCTGGGGTCCCACTTACTGATGATCTGCACAAGGACATAGGTCCCTCGCTCCTGCAGCAGGGAACTGGCCATGGACTCTGCTGGGGCAACCCCCTCCTCCAGGCCCTCGTCCAGGTTCACCAGGTGCCCATCCTCAGCCAGGAGAGCGATAGTTGCTGGGAGGGCATGGAGAGAGGACGGGCAGGGTTGGCACACCTGCCTGGGAGCCGTTAGCCCCTCTTCCCCAGCCCCTCTCTGTTTCCTCACCATCTGGGGGGACCCTCCCCCTCTGCCTCAGGTGGGAGGTGAGGGTCACCAGGTTGCACCAGGGGTTCACCAGCTCCCAGCAGCCGGCTGTAGGAGAGGGGCAGAGGTGAACATGTGGAGTCCCTTACTTCCCCCTCAATCTGGGGTCGTCTGCCTCTCCCTTCAATCTCTCCCCTTCCCAGAGCTGCGACTAGGGCTGCCGGGCTCGGACCATGCCCCAACCAAGACAGCTCTGGCAAGCTCTGCTTACACTGCCTGGGAGACCCTTTCATCCATCACCGAGTTGTCAGTGGCGGGTCGGGCCGGGCCGCAGAGTTAGGCTGGGACGCCAGCCCGGCGTCCCGCGCGGGCCCCGCCCTCGCACGAAGCAGCGCCGCCCCGTACGCTGGGACCCTCGGGCGGGGAAACTGCAACGGTAGCTAGAGCTTCCAGCGTCTGCTGCTCGCTGAAGCCCGAGGACCACTGACTGAATGCGGAAGAGGTCCTGCGGCTTCAAAACGTGCTCCACGGTGGCGCGGCGGGCGCTGGCCGACGGGAGCCCGCGTGAGTTACCCGGGCAGGGCTCAGCCCTTGTTTTCCCCTCAGGGGACTCGCTCCAGGCTTTGCCTCCTCACAGAGCCCCTTCCGCAACGTCCCCGTCCTCGCCGCCATCTGCACCCTCCTTCCCGCCATTGCCTCCGCACCCTCCCCCAGGGCAGGAGGAGCGCCTTTGATTGTGCCCATCCTCCCGCCGCCTGCTGGGGCGGCGGGCTCCACTCACCTCCAAACATCACCGTGATAAACATGGCTGCAGCGGCAGGAGACAGGTGCGGGGGCTTTGATCCCCCAACCCCCGATTCCCCAACTACGGCGGGCCGGGAGCTGACCGCCTGTGGGGAGGTGCGTCGGCGTGAGCGCGGGCGGTCCGGAGCCAGGCCTCCGCTCGGCCACCGCACTAGTTTGGCTCCACTAGCCTAGACCAGGCCCTGCAGCTAGTCCAGGACCCCTGGCCTCTTCTTCCTCACGCCGCTCGCTGGGCCACAGCTACTCCCACCCGCTCCCGGGCTGGTCTCCATGGCAGTGGAGCCGCGGAGACATCTAGGCAGGAAACGCCTTCCTCCCCGTATCCGGGCAACGCACCTGGGCGGGAGCATTCCCGAGGCGAGGCTCTGGTCCAGCCCCTCGGGGGCTCGAGGCTGGTCCAGGGGCGCCCTCGTGACTGCCTCCGGAGACCTCGTGCCCTGCCGGTGAGAGACGGGGGCTCCTCGCTGGAAGGGGGGGTCCTCGCCTCGCGTGCGGGCTCCCCACGACTCAAGGCTCTTTCCTGTGCTCGCTTCTCTGTCCATGTTTCTTTTTCTTTTCTCATTAGTCAAGTTTTTTGAGGTCTAACTTACATATAGTAAAATTCACCCTTTTTAGTGTTTATGTCTTTGATTTCTTTTTTTTATTATTTTTCCTTATATATTTTTAATCTTTTTTAAAATTAAAAAAAAATTTTATTTTTGAGACAGTCTCACTTTGTTGCCCAGGCTAGAGTGAGAGCCATGGCGTCAGCCTAGCTCACAGCAACCTCAAGCTCCTGAGCTCAAGCAGTCCTTCTGCCTCAGCCTCCCGAGTAGCTGGGACTACAGGCATGCGCCACCATGCCTGGCTAATTTTTTCTATATATATTAGTTGGCCAATTAATGTCTTTCTATTTATAGTGGAGAGAGGTCTGGCTCTTGCTCAGACTGGTTTCGAACTCCTGACCTTGAGCAATCTGCCTGCCTCGGCCTCCCAGAATGCTAAGATTACAGGGGTGAGCCACCACGCCCGGCCAATTTTTAAAATATTTTTTAACATTTATTCTTTTTTTCTTTTTCTTCTTCCCAGTTCAATGAAATGGTCCTTTTTAGTGTTTTTTGAGTTTTGACAAATCCCATATAACCACCACCATAGTCAGGATACACGGAACATTTCCATCACCCCCCAAATTCCGCTGTGCCCCTTGGTCCCTGGCATCATCCACTGCCCTGCTTTCTCTCCCTGCCTCTTCTAGGTTGCCCTCTGCATGGAATCAGGGTGGAGCATTTCGGGGCTGGCTTCTGTCACTCAGCATGATGCATTTGTGATTCATCCAGGTTGTCCCACGCCTACTTCCTGCTGAAGAGTGTCCCATTGGATGTATGCAGTTTGTTGAGCCATTCACCTGCTGTTGTTCTGAGTCATTGCCAATTTTTGGAGATGATGAATAAAGCCAGTTTAGACATTCGACTGCAAGTTTTTGTGTGAAGAGTTTCCTGTTTCTCTAGGCTGTTGAGTATCACGAAAGGGGTTCCCAGCTCCTAGGGTGGGTGTGTATTTAACTTTACAGGGAACTGCCAACGTGCTATTCCAGCATGTCCTCATGGGGTCGCATTGTTCCTCTTTCTGACTAGTTGCTGGGCCTCCCAGGTGCATAGCAGGTCACAAGTACCTCCTGGTTAGCTCTCACTGCTGGCTGGTGCCCACTTGCCAGCCTTGCTGTTCCTGTCTCATACTCCCCTGCCTCTCCCACTCTCTCCCCTCCCGCCCTCCTCTGGGACTCTGTGTCTCCTACTGTTTCCCTGCCTCGCCTCTATTTCTGTCTCCCACCCCCTCCCTGTGAGTCCCCACCAGACTCCTGCAGCCGGGGTGCATAGAGCTACCCCACCCCCCACCACCATCATTTTGCCAGCTCCTTTTCCCCCAAGAAATGCTTCCTGTCCCAAGTTTCAGCTGTTTGTCCTGCCCTTTGCAGGCAGAGTTCTGGGCGGTGAGGTGGAAGGAAGACTGGGTCCTCCATGCAGCTCACCATCATCACACTCTGCCCCTGGATAAGCACTTTCCTTTGAGCTGCCTTAGTCTTCCCACCTGTAAAAGGGGGATATGAAGGGTGACTCAGCAGGGTTGTGAGGATTAAATGTGGTAACACTTTAAAAAGCTATCTCTGGGCTCAGCAACACGACGTAGCAAGAGCTCCAGTCAGTACTGTGGCAATAGGCAGCACTTCCCAAACTTACTTAAACACGGGGCACTTTCCTCCCGGGACAGCACCGTATCTGGGGACTCAGGTCTCACAGAACACTGCTCAGGAGACTCCGGTCTCTAGAGCAGAGGTCCTCAAACTTTTTTTTTTTTTGAGACAGAGTCTTGCTTTGTTGTCCAGGCTAGAGTGAGTGCCGTGGCGTCAGCCTAGCTCACAGCAACCTCAAACTCCTGGGCTCAAGCAATCCTACTGCCTCAGCCTCCCGAGTAGCTGGGACTACAGGCATGTGCCACCATGCCCGGCTAATTTTATATATATATCAGTTGGCCAATTAATTTCTTTCTATTTATAGTAGAGACGGGGTCTTGCTCTTGCTCAGGCTGGTTTTGAACTCCTGACCTTGAGCAATCCGCCCGCCTCAGCCTCCCAGAGAGCTAGGATTACAGGCGTGAGCCACCGCGCCCGGCCCCTCAAACTTTTTAAACAGGGGACCAGTTCACTGTCCCTCAGACCGTTGGAGGGCCAGACTATAGTTAAAAAAAACAACCTTCCCAATTCACCCACAGGGAAAAAAAAAAAAAAAAAAAAAAAAAAAAAACAACCAGCCTGTGAAAGCTCTTGTACCAAATGCTAACACATTTCTCCTGGCGCTACCATCTCAAACACCAAGAAGCTTTATGTTGGCAGCAAGCAGTGATGGTCAAGATTGCCCACCATTTAGAGTGCTATAACTACTGGCCTAAAAAATCATCAAAAGAGCCTGTTAAGCTAAGACAAAGGAAGCATATTAATAAATCTCTTCCCTGACAATGGTGCAGATTTTTAAATGAGAATTATAGCATTTAAATAATCAAAATCCTAAACCAGGGGTCCTCAAACAACAGGGGGCCAGTTCACTGTCCCTCAGAACATTGGAGGGCCGGACTATAGTTTGAAAAAAACTATGAACAAATTCCTATGCACACTGCACATATCTTGAGGTAAAAATTAAACGGGCAAAAACACCCACATGTGGCCTGCGTGCGGGCCGTAGTTTGAGGATGCCTGCTCTAGGGCCTCAGCTCTGATAGTCACCACTCTGCCCTCCAAGGGGCTCTTCAGCGCCACCAAGGGGAGAGTCTTTTATCTTGAGTGTCATGGGGATGCCCTAAGTAGGTGCAGGATTGTATGTAGCAGGACCCTGGAGGGGCTTTATACTCTCCTCCTCCACGGGAGCCCTGGAGGCTGTGAGTTAACAAGAGTGCGCTGTGTTAACTGGTGTAGTAGCGTCGACATCAGAATACAGAACAGATTGCTACTGAGAAGACAGTTTGTTACTCACAGTTCTCAAGAAGAGTGGACAAGCCATGCCATGGTGGGCGTACTTCCGGGCAAGTACGAGGGTTGGTCCTGAGGCCGAGGGAGCCTTTACTGTGGTTTCCAAAGGAGCGGGCAAGGCTGGGTGGGCAGGTTTAGGATTGAATGACTTCAGTTGAGCTATGGGGCATAGGGGCTGTCCCTAGTTGTCTTGTGCCTGGCCCTGGGGAGATTAGGGGAAGGATGGGAGCCTGATAAAAGAGTTGTTTTTACTATCTCCAGGGACTGCCTAACCCTGAGAGGGGCAGTCCCTCCTTGGCCAGCAAGGCCCCAGATTACAACACATTAAAATGCAGAAAATAAAAGACACGGTTACTCCATGCTCTGTGCCCCACACTGAGCAAACAGGTCCTATCTTTGTATCTTCACAGTCCTTGGGCTGGTACTATGCTTAACATTTTCCAGATGAGAAAACTGAGGCGCAGAGAGGGGGAGTAACTTGGCTGAAGTCATGCAGTTAAGCATAGGAGCTGGGATTCAAACTCAAATTGAAAACCACTTCAGCTCCCCTCCTTCTGGCAAATTATTATTTTTTATTTTTAGAGACAGGGTCTTGCTCTGTCACCTAGGCTATAGTGCAGTGGCACGATCATAGCTCACTGCAGCCCCCAACTCCTGGGGTCAAACAATCCTCCTGCCTTGGCCTTCCAAAGTGCTGGGATTATATGTGTGAGCCACCGCACCCAGCCGTCCTCTGGCAAATTAAAGGGACTGACAATGTCAAGTGCTGGCAAGCATGTGAAGTCATTGGAACTCTCTTACCTGCTGGGAGGATTGCAGATTGGTACAAACACGTGGCAGTATCTACTGAAATTAAACATACACATTTGATACTACTTGGCAGTTCCATTCTAGGGTCTAACAGAAACGGGAGCACAGTAGACCAAAGACATTGACAAGGATGTTCATAGCAGTTTTATTTGTAGTGGCCAAATGGAAAGCACCCAAATGTCTAATAACAGGCGAATGGATAAACTAATTGTGATATAGTCACACAGTGGGTCACTCACAGCTGTGGGAATGAATTCAATATTGCTGCACACACATTGATGACTCTTACATTGAACAAAAGAAGCAGACACAAAAGAGGACACTGTTACTCCATTTATAGTTGAAGTTCTAGACCAGATAACACTAATCTAAGGTGACAGAATCAGAATGATGGTTCCCTTAAGGATGGAGGTCATTACTAACATGAGGGAGGCTTTTGGGGTGATGAAAATGTTCTAAATCTTTTTAAGAGGCGAAGAGTGGCACTCAGCCCACACCGTGGGTGCCGGCAGACCCCTTCCCCCTAAAAATGTTCTAAATCTTGATCTAGGTGGAGGGTGTGTGTGTGTGTGTGTGTGTGTGTGTGTGTATAAAATCATTGAGCTATATATTTTATGCACTTTTCTGTATGCCAGTTGTACCTCAATAAAAAAGTAGATTCCAGGCTGGGTGCGGGGGCTCACGCCTGTAATCCTAACACTCTGGGAGGCAGAGGCAGGTGGATTATTTGAGCTCAGGAGTTCAAGACCAGCCTGAGCAAGAGCAAGACCCCGTCTCTACTAAAAAAAATAGAAAGAAATTAGCTGGACAACTAAAAATATATACAAAAAAAAAAAAAAAAGCTGGGCATGGTGGCACATGTCTGTAGTCCCAGATACTCAGGAGGCTGAGGCAGAAGGATTGCTTGAGCCAGGAATTTGAGGTTGCTGTGAGCTAGGCTGATGCCATGGCACTCTAGCCCAGGCAACAGAGTGAGACTCTGTTTCAAAAAATAAAAAATAAATAAGTAGATTCCAAACCCCTGCTACAACTGAACATGATTTCTGGGCTCCTGTTCTCAGAAGGCCTTGTGGGGCCAGGATCTGAAATTTGGGCAGATAAGGCCTGGCCATTGGGTCTCGTCAAAGCCCCTCCCTCCTCAGTCCCTGGGCAGATTTGCATACCCTGTTGTGGTCCAGTGGCCTCTCCAGCCCTGTGCTCCCAGGCGCCCGGAGCACAGCCCAGCAGAACCGCTCCCCACCTGCCTCCCTGCCTCTCGTCATGGCCTGCCTGTGCCTGGCCTTCCTTCTGATGGGAACCCTCATGGCAGGTGAAACCTCCCTGGGCCTGGCTCACCTGGGTGTGGGGTGGAGGTATCCCTCGAAAGGAAGCAAATTGATGGGAATGGTAGGGAGGGTCCAGGGAGGGAGACTGAGGTGGAGGGGAGACCTGACTCCAGGCAATTCTGCCCCTGACCTGGGGCAAGTCACTTTCCTGTGTGGGCCTTGGTTTCCCCATTTATGAATGACCAGATCACCAGGGCCCCTTTGGATTCAGATTTTGGGGTCTCCTTCTTACTTCTTCACAGGGAAGCTAGTGTGGGCTGGTCCCCACCCCACAGGGGCTCAGAAGCAACCTAACCCCCAAAATGCCCCTGGAAGGTAGTATGATGGGGGGAGGTCTACAGTGAAAGGAGAGCAGAGGGACCCAGTGGCTTCCAGTCCCACCCTCTGAGCTCTGGGCCCTCAAATGAACATTGATGCTTGGGGATGTGGCACTAATAGGGACTGGGGTTTGCCAACTCCAAACCCCTCACTCACAGAGGGAAATGGAGGCCCAGAGAGGGCACCCTGAGTCACAAAGAGCCAGGCCTCCTGCACCTCATCCAGTGCCAATCCCACAACACCGGGCAGTGACCCTATGGGGGTGGGAGTCTGACCAGTCCTTCACATGGCAGAGGTAGGTGTGTAGGGACCCAAGGCAGGCCTGAGTGGGTCTGTGTCTCTCAGTCTCCCAGCCAGCCCTGGCCCAGCAGGATGCTCTGCTGGTCTTCCCAGGCCAAGTGGCTCAACTGTCCTGCATGCTCAGCCCCCAGCACGCCATCAGTGACTACGGTGTGTCCTGGTACCAGCAGCGGGCAGGCAGTGCCCCCCGCTATCTCCTCTACTATCACTCAGAAGAGGAGCACCACCGGCCCGATGACATCCCTGACCGATTCTCAGCAGCCAAGGATGTGGCCCACAATGCCTGTGTCCTGACCATCAGCCCCGTGCAGCCGGAGGATGATGCGGATTACTACTGCTCTGTTGGCTTCAGCCCTGGTTCCTAGGGGTGGGGTGTGAGATGGGTGACCCTGACATTGGGCCCCTCTCTAACTTTCTCTGAGCCTTGCTCTCTCCTCTGTAAAATGGGTTAATAACAGTCAATGTGTCAACAGGAGCTACTGTGAGATCTGGCTGAACAAAGTGACTGTGGTTGGTCTAGGAGTGTGGGGGTGGGACGCCTGGGGATTGTTGCCAAAGAGGAAGCACCTGAAACCCTTGGGGTGTGACCCAGCCTCTCCTCTGGCCCCCAGGGGGCTGAGATTGGTGGCCTGGCCTTCCCATGACCTGAGGAGCTGGGGGGAGAGAAAAAGGAACCAGGCCTCACCACCCCCAGCTCTGCATGGCTGGTTGTGGTCCAACAGTCATGGTTCTGGGATGCCTGGGCCCCATGGAGCCCAGGCTGCTGGCCTGGGGAGGGGCAGCCCCTGCCTACCCTTTGGAGTCTCTGCCCAAGGCCTGACCACTCTGCTGGGGCAGAGAGGCGTGTGTGTGAGTAGCATGGTGTGGGTAGCAAGAGCCAGGGCTGAGGTGTGGAAGGCAGGTGGGCAGAGGGCTGGGGCAGAGTCCCTCTCCCCAGGGACAGTGTGTTCTATTGGCTTCCTGTGACTGACCTGAGGTCTCCTGAGGGAGGCTCTCCCACGGGCTGGCAGGGGCACCAGCAGGGTCAAGTCTCCGTCATCAGCAGCAGAGTCGAGCGTCTGGGAGTGGGGGACACATTCCTCTTCATTCCCGGTGGCCCTAAGAGGCGCCTGGAATGTGGGGGTCAGCCCTCTGTTGCGCAGAGTTAGGGGCCCCGCGGTCCTGAGAGAGTCCCACCTACACGCTCGGCCACCTCCTGCGCTGTCGCCTGGCCCCTTCCTCTCGCCTACGTCTCTGCAGGGGCAGGGAGGGAGGGCAAGCAGGCCCCTGCCTGTGCCGGGAGACTGAGTCGACAGCTCTGGGACTCCCCGCCTGCTCTCCTGAAGGCCCTAGACGCCACGGTGGCCTCTGGCTCGCCCCACCCCAAAACAGGTGCAGCCAACGCCTGCAGCTCTAGGCCCGCCCGCCCCTCCGGGTCTCAGTTTCCTCCTCTACACTCGCGCCCACACCTGCCCAGCTCCGTACTCCTTACGGCCAGGAAGCGCTTTGGCGATGGCCGGAGCCACCGTACCGACCCTAGAGACTCTCCAGATCTGGGTCCTAGCGCCACAGGGCAGGACTGCCTCACGCGGCGAGACCTGGCGCGGCGGGACCACCGAGACGCCGGGACCTCCGCGCGGCCTAGAGTGGTCCCGGAAGTGCCCGAGGGCCCAGGGCGGGGCTCTGGGAGCTCCGGCGGCCGCGGGGTCCGCGTCAGCAGCTGCGGCGGAGCGAGGCCGCGTCGGCCGGGTCGGCCGCGGGTTGGAGCGGCTCAGGTGCAGCCCCGCCCCTCCCGCCTGCGGCCCCGCCCGCCTGCGGCCCCGCCCCGGCCCAGGTGAGCTGCCCCGCCCCGGCTCAGGTGAGTGGCTCCCTTCAGCCAGGGCGACCGGAGTCCGTCTGGCCACCTGTTTCTACTGTGGCCCCGGGTGTGGGTGTCCCCAGTCCGTGGGAAGCCTCTAGCGGCGTCGCGTGGCCGCCCGGGAAGCGCGTGCGGGTCCGTGGCTGCTCGTGGACCTCCAGTCTGGAGACCCTTACTACACTGAGGGTTTGCCCGGTGCCCAGGCCCTGGGGGCTCCCTAGAGGATGGGGTGACAGATCAAGAGGACCTGGGGAAGGCCGAGAGAGGTGGGAGGCATGGGGTTTCAGACCTTTGGATTTTCGGCCCCCAAACATTTAACATATGGTTGGGGACAGATTAAAGATTGCCAACTTTTTATCCAGAGTGGAGACTTCGGTGTGTAGGGGCTACGTAGTGGGAATGGAAAATTCCTAAAGAGGGAACCTTGGAAATACCAGGTTTTACAGGTGGGTAGAAGAGGAGTTGCAATCCATAGATACCACGACAGAAGAACCAGAGGGCATACAAATTGGGAAGAAAGCTTCAGAAACCAAGGAAATAAAGTGAGAATGAGGTTGGGGGTGGAGATGGGGTTGGTGGGGGTGGGGACTAACTCAAAGCTTTCAGGCACGCAGGTAGACAATGTGGGTTAGTGAAGGGTGGGCCCATATTGTCACATCTTCCAGTTTTTCAAGAGAAAGTTTAGAAACCTACTGAATTTTAAATATTGGCAACTGAGTAAAAGGAAAAGGAAAAGCCTAATTCTTTGAGAGCCAAACAAAACGTGTCTGTGGCAGGATCCCCAGGCTGGCCTGCCAATTTGCAAGCTCTGAAATGAAAGATGTTGAGAAGGAGGTATTGGAGAGCGATGCCAGATGGGGTGGGAAGGTAAGGACTGGGAAGAGAGGGATTTGGCAATAAGGAGATCATTCAGTGCCAGAGCTGAAGTCCCAGCTGAAACTGGAAACTCGAAATTTATGGTATTGCCATACATAGTTGCATGATTTTTCTTGGCAACATTTAACATCTTAGGAGGAATTGGCAGAGAGGTTGGAAGTTAGTGGTTTCTTGCAGCAAGACAAGGGGTGAGGAATATGATGCTGGTCAGAGAGTTAAGTGACACTCAGAATTAGACCCACTAAGCCAGATGGAGAAGGGGTGGAACTAGAAGAAGAGAAGCTGGGCAAAAATGGGGGTTGCTGCATTTTGATATTCAAAAGCATAGGCCAAGTGAGAGAACTGGAAGGGTTCGAGATTATGAATTGCTGCAGAGGAGGGGGAGTGCAAGAGGTGCTGAGGTGATCAAAGAATTTTTGACAATAGTTAGTTCTGTGCCTTTTTTTTTTTTTTTTTTTTTTTTTTTTAAGACAGAGTCTGTATCAGTCGCCCAGGCTGGAGTGCAGTGGCCTCATCATAGCTCACTGCAGCCTTGAACTCCTGGGCTCAAGCGATCCTCCTGCCTCAGCCACCCTCCCCCGCCGCCCCCTCATTAGCTGGGATTACAAGTGCTGCCACCATGTTTGGCTGGCTTTTCTATTTTTTGTAGAGACAAGGTCTCATTCTTGTTCAGGCTGGTCTCGAACCCCTGGCCTCAAGCGATCCTCTTGCCTCAGCCTCCCAAAGTGCTAGGATTATAGGCATGAGCCATTGTGCCTAGCCTGTGCTTTTTTCATACCTGGTCTTTCTATTGGCTGGGGGGAAATCATTATTTATTTATTTATTTTTAAATTTTTTGTAGAGATGGGGGTCTTTCTCTGTTGCTTGGGCTGGTCCCAACCTCCTGGCCTCAAGTGATCCTCCCACTTTTGCCTCCCTAAGTGCTGGGATTATAGGCATGAGCCATAGCACCTGGTGTGAAAAATCATTTAAAAAATCATTTCCAAATAGGAATGAGTTCCATTGTGACTATTTTGATTAATTTAGTATGGTTTTTTGAGCTGGTTACTTGCTAAGCTTCAGCAGAAGGCTAATAGTACTTTTGTTTTTTTGTTTTTGTTTTTTTTTGAGACAGAGTCTCACTTTCTTGCCCAGGCTAGAGTGAGTGCCGTGGCATCAGCCTGGCTCACAGCAACCTCAATCTCCTGGGCTCAGCAATCCTACTGCCTCAGCCTCCCTAGTAGCTGGGACTACAGGCATGCGCCACCATGCCCGGCTAATTTTTTTGTATATATATTTTTAGTTGGTCAATTAATTTCTTTCTATATTTTGGTAGAGACGGGGTCTTGCTCAGGCTGGTTTTGAACTCCTGACCTCGAGCAATCCGCCTGCCTCGGCCTCCCAGAGTGCTAGGATTACAGGCGTGAGCCACCGTGCCCGGCCTAATAGTACTTTTGTATAGAGTTGTGAGGATTAAATAAGATGCTGTGAAGGATGTAGTAGCACCTAGCACATAGTAGGTGCTCTGTAAATATGAGCTGTAACTGTCATTGTCATGTATCTGAGGACTTTGCCTTTATTTAGAGAAGTTTCTGAATGGGGCTTTGAGGGATGTTCTCAGGGGCCACCACAGTGGGGGCTGGGCTGAGTGGGGTGTTCTAGCCTTCTTCCTCGTGCCTGCTAAAAACACCCCCTTCAAATGGAGCAGCTCTGCTTTTTTGTCTGTGTTGCTTATTTACATCTAGAGTTGGAAGCTTGATGTATTTGAATAAAGTGTTCTTAGGAAAAAACAAGGTGACAGTCAGTTCTAGCATACAGAGAAATGGGGTTTCCTCCATTTGATTTTTTTTTTTATTTTGGCATATTATGGGGGTACAGATTTTAAGGTTTCAATAAATGCCCATTTCCCCCCCTCCCCTCCATTTGATTTTTTATTCAACAACTCTGAACACCGGGATTGTGCTTTTGTGCTGGGGGCTGGAGATTCCACATGAATCTGCCTGCCCTGGGGAGCTCGCAGACTAAGGTAGGGAGGGCCATGATGAGGTGCTGGGTGCACCTTGGGTTACCAGCAAGATGTGTCTGAGATGGTCACAAGTCTGAGGGTACAGAGAAGAGGGGACATTTGAATGAGTCCAGAAGGAGGAGTGAATGGCAGCCTGAGAACGGGGGAGGGACCTGTTAGGAAGAGACAGGAGCAGTGCACGTGAGTTAAGCTGGAAGGCTGGGAAAGAGTGGGGCAGAGAGGCAGGAGATGGGCTGGAAGGGCCAGTATGAAGGGCCTTGTGAAGGAGTTGGGCCGTCTCAAGATCCTAAGGAGGGAAACACCATGATCAGCCTTGTGTTGTAGGTATTTGACTGTAGTATCAGTATACAGCATGCACCAGAGGGGAGGGGTGGAAGCTTGAGGTTGGTGGCTAGTTAGGAGGTGAGTATTGAAAGAATCTTGGGGGGCGGACTGAGGCTTGAGCTGCAGAGTGACAGTGAGGACAGAGAGGTGGAGACCCCTTCCGTGAAGCCTCAGGAAGTGGACAGGATGAGACGGGTGGGGTGAGAATGAGATGGTCTAGGGCTAGGCTGACTCCCAGGGCCATTTTTAAATAGGGGGCCAGTTCACTGTCCCTCAGACCGTTGGAGGGCCATTGGAGAGTGCGGCGCACATTCCACACATGCGCACTGTGGGCCCGGGACCACTTGGCTGCTAAGCAGGACAGGCAGTGGCAACAAAAACACCTGGTGGTCCGGATAAATGACCTCAGCGGGCTGCATGTGGCCTGTGGGGCCGTAGTTTGAGGACGCCTGCCCAGGGCTCTGGCTTGGGCACCCAGCTGGGCGGAGTGTGCTTGACCTAGTGTAGGAGGGAAGTGCTCTCTCTTTCCCCAAAATAATGCCCGAAGACCATCCGGTAGCCCAAGCCTTGCCCCTTTTCCACAAGGGCTCTACTTCCCAGGCTGGAGTGCAGTGGTGTCATCATAGCTCACTGCAGCCTTGAAATCCTGGGCTCAAGTGATCCTCCTGCTTCCGCCTCCTGAGTAGCTAAGACTACAGGTGTGCACCACTGAGCTTGGCTAATGTTTTTATTTTTTGGAGAGATGGGTACTCAATATGTTGCCCAGTCTGGTCTTGAACTCCTGGCCTCAAGCAATCCTCTCAAAGCACTGGGATTCCCACTGCCTGTGTGAGCTCACTTTCCTGAATGTCTTTAGCTGTTACAGTCCAGACACCATGATGTGGCACTTAATTGTGTCTGTCTGTCTGTCTGCCTTGCAGTTGTTTCTGGTGAATCAAACTGGTCTCTAACTCATTTGGGATCGTCTGGAGGGCAACACTGTGTCTCACCCTTACTCGGTTGTTCGCACCATAGATTCTAGAACAGGAAGGTGGCACGTAAGAGCTGCTTGATTTGCCAACTTAACAACATTCCTTGTTTTCTTTTCAGATTTTGAGAACAGTAAATACAGTATCAAGAGGAACATTTTTGAAGAAATACAGTCATCGGGGCGATACAAGATTCACAATGGAGGTTCCCCCAGCAACCAAATTTGGTGAGACCTTTGTGTTTGAGGACAGGTTAGAGATGCAGCAAGAGCTTTTCCCTGGGGAGGACCTGGCGGACCCTTTTCTTCAGGAGAGAGGTTTGGAGCAGATGGCTGTTATCTACAAAGAGATCCCTCTTGGGGGGGAAGACGAGGACCATGATGATTACGAGGGGAACTTCAGTCTGTGCCCAAGCCCTGTTCAGCATCAGAGTGTCCACCCAGGAACCAGAGCCCAGGACGATGACCTATTTAGCCAAACCTTCCTCCAGAAATCCGACCTCAGCATGTGTCAGATATTGCACAGGGAAGGAGAGTCCAGGCCACGTGATTGTGTGGAAGTGGCAGGCAGGGGGGACTCGGGACCTACCGCACCTCACAGAACGCCTCCGCCAGCCAAGCCCTACGCATGTCGAGAGTGCGGGAAGGCCTTCAGCCAGAGCTCGCACCTCCTCCGGCACCTGGTGATCCACACCGGGGAGAAGCCCTACGAGTGCTGCGAGTGCGGGAAGGCCTTCAGCCAGAGCTCGCACCTCCTCAGACATCAGGTCATCCACACCGGGGAGAAGCCCTACGAGTGCCGGGAGTGCGGAAAGGCCTTCCGCCAGAGCTCTGCACTCACGCAGCACCAGAAGATCCACACGGGGAAAAGGCCCTACGAGTGCAGGGAGTGCGGGAAAGATTTCAGCCGGAGCTCCAGCCTCCGGAAACACGAGAGGATCCATACAGGAGAGAGACCATATCAGTGTAAGGAATGCGGGAAATCCTTCAACCAGAGCTCAGGCCTGAGCCAGCACCGGAAAATCCACACCCTCAAGAAACCTCACGAGTGCGACCTCTGTGGGAAAGCCTTCTGTCACAGGTCGCACCTCATCCGGCACCAGCGGATCCACACTGGGAAGAAGCCTTACAAATGTGACGAGTGCGGGAAGGCCTTCAGCCAGAGCTCCAACCTCATTGAGCACCGGAAGACCCACACGGGCGAGAAGCCCTACAAGTGCCACAAGTGCGGCAAGGCCTTCAGCCAGAGCTCCTCGCTCATTGAGCACCAGCGCATCCACACTGGCGAGAAGCCCTACGAGTGCTGCCAGTGTGGCAAGGCCTTCTGCCATAGCTCCGCTCTGATCCAGCACCAGAGAATCCACACCGGCAAGAAGCCATACGCCTGCGAGTGTGGCAAAGCCTTCCGGCACAGGTCGGCCCTCATCGAGCACTACAAGACCCACACCAGAGAGAAGCCCTACGTGTGCAACCTGTGCAGCAAGTCCTTCAGGGGCAGCTCACACCTGATCCGGCATCAGAAGATCCATGCTGGGGACAAACTGTAGGAGGAGGAGCCTGCACCACAGTTTGGAAGTCTTTGCCAGCTGGAGCCGTACCCATGTTGCTTTTTGGCTAAGATCCCGACTACCTCCCTGACAACGATGCCCAGTGGAGCCCCTCTGACTCAAGTGCTCCTGAGTGTCCCACTAGCAGGAAGGCCCACCGGGTGGCACCCAGCCCAGCAGCTTTCCTGCATGGGAGGGAGGGCAGGGTGACGGGGCTGCCTGCCAGACAGAGAGCTGCCCTTCAGTGTCCTCATTCTCCTACTTGACTCCCGAGCCTACGAGACTTCATTCTGCCCTCTCTTCGCTTTTCCCAGAATGCAGAGGAAGAACAAATGCCAAGAGGAAGAAAGCTTAGTTAAACCCAGGAAAATGTCAGATTAACTCTTGGAATCAGGCTGCCGTCTGGCACTTTTAGAAGACAGAAACCACGTTCACAGTCCACAGCAGCAGAAGAAAAACGCATTCCAAAATAGATACGTCAGCGTTAAAACAGAAATTTCTGCCTGGATTGGGCATGGGTGGAGACAACCCAACAGGTCAACAGAGCAAGGAGGGTCTGCAAGGATGGGTCTTGGGGTTGGGGGCGAAGGGGTGAGCCCCTAGGCGGGGTCTCTGAGCCCCCTCCTCTTAGCGTGAGGACATCTGACTCAGCCTGGGCACCGGCATTACTGCCTTCCAGGGATAACCCGTCCCTGGGCCCCAGTGCCCCCAAGACCACAGTGTGCCTTGGACATCAGCAGAGCCTGTTTCTGGCCTGGTCTGGCAGTAACACAGCCTCACCACCCATGTCAGGGGACGCAGGAAGCAGGGTGGTTTGGTGGAGGAGGCCGTGGTCCAGTCAAAAGGCCTGGTTTGGCCGGGCGTGGTGGCTCACGCCTGTAATCCTAGCACTCTGGGAGGCTGAAGCGGGCAGATTGCTCAAGGTCAGGAGTTCGAAACCAGCCTGAGCAAGAGCGAGACCCTGTCTCTACTATAAATAGAAAGAAAATCAATTGGCCAACTAATATATATAGTAAAAATTAGCTGGGCATGGTGGCGCATGCCTGTAGTCCCAGCTACCCGGGAGGCTGAGGCAGGAGGATCGCTTGAGCCCAGGAGTTTGAGGTTGCTGTGAGCTAGGCTGACGCCACAGCACTCACTCTAGCCTGGACAACAAAGCGAGACTTTGTCTCAAAAAAAAAAAAAAGGCCTGGGTTCAAGTCCCAGTTCCCCAGGCTCCATTTCCCTGCTTGTGAGGTGGGGGTGATGGGACCTGGCCACATACCTTAAAGGTTGGGGCGAGGCTCCCATTCAGAATGAGCTCACGAGACAGAGTCATAGGTAGCAGCTAAGGATGGAAACTCAGAATGACCCCTGCCCCGCCCAGCCTGGGCTTGCACACACCTGCTGAGGCCGCGTCCCACACCCCGACTCTTTCTCCCAGATGCCATCCTGAGCCTCCTGCTGCAGCGGGGTCATTTTGCACTCCCAGTACACTCTCTGTCCTCCCTTCCTGCGGGCTGGAGCTCGCCTGGGGGCTGTGTGAGCCGGACCATTGCCTGCGCCCCCTCCCCCTGACCAATTCGGTCAGCTTCCCCAGACGTGAGGCCTGACAGTGGTATGTCTTAGAGCCGCCAGGTGATTATAGCATGCAGCTGGGCTGTGCGCCCCGTGCTGGGCTTTCGTGAAGCGCCCAGCCACTGGCGTTGGCCGAGCAGAGCTTGAAGGCCATTCTATCTCAGTCGCCCTGTCCCCGGAGCCTCAGAAGTGGGCTAAGGCAGTGATGGTCAGCTGTGCTGGCTGATCGGTGAGTGTCCCGGCCCACAGGGCTCTCTCAAGTGCTGTCTCCCCTGCCACCCCAGCCTCATCAGCTAGTGGAGAAAGAGGCAGTCTGATATATTTCGAATTTTTCCAGAAGTTATGGCTGGAATCACATCATGGTAGCGCTAGTTACTATAGCTGATCAGAAGCTCAGCATGGCGGTCATGTATAGTTTTGATGAATAAACGTGGGAAAGCTATAATTGTCACTTAGTAAGTGGGGCTTGGTAGGCCAGAGATTTCAAAATGTTGGGCCAGAGAGATCACGGTGGGAGTCCTGGCCACTCCTCTGTCCGGCGTCTGTCTTTGCCACCCGAGTGTGTGAAACACTTAACCAGCAGTCCACGGTCCCCTGAACCCACCACATGACCAGGGGACCCACTGGGTGGTGCCCTCAGCATTGTTTGCAGCTGGCCTGCCATTTGTTGGGAGTGAAGAGAATGCCCAGACGCAGCTGGGACAGCAGGTGGCATCATGCAGGGTCCCCTGAAAGATCTACCCCCTCACGCCTCCTCTCACATCCCCCCATTATCACCAGGCAAATGTCTGTTACCTGCGTTTGGTCTCTCGCTCCCTGTCCCTTCTGTACATTCCAGCCACACTGATCTTTGAAGCATCACTTTGCACATGTCACTGCTCTCCTTAAAAAGCAAACGCCAGGAGGTTTTCTGCACGTAAACCTGCATTTCAGCCAAGCTGCGTAACCCCTGTGATTAAGCCACAAGCAGTTGAGGCCACCCCTGCGGGCTGTCCTCCTCGTTGACTCTTAGCCTCTCATAATCCCCTTTATGCTGTTCTCACGTTTCAGAGCGTGCACTTTCTCCTCTTCCTCCCTCCCTCTCCTCTTCTTTGTGTATAACGTGGAGATTAAGACACCTTGCCCCAGGGTTAACAGATTCTCACATAAACATGGTAAGACCAGGTACTTTTCCATTTTTGGAAGTATGAGCACAGCCTAATTCCTTCTGTTCAAATTCTTTCACTGTTTTATTATGTATTTTTTTTTTTTTTTTTTGGAGACAGGGTCTCGCTCTGTTGCCCAGGCTAGAGTGCAGTGGCACGATCATAACTCACTGCACCCTCAGACTCCTGGGTTCAAGTGATCCTCCCGCCTCAGCCTCTCAGGTAGCTGGGACTACAGGTGTACCCCACCATGACTGGCTAATTTTTGAATTTTTTTTCTAGAGACAGAATGTTGCTGTGTTTCCCAGCCTGGTCTTGAACTCCTGGTCTCAAGTGACCCTCCCACCTCAGCCTCCCAGAGTTATTACATATTTTTAGAATTTCTCTCATTCTGTTTAGATTCTCAAACAGTGTAAAGGTATGAGAGATCATCCCTGGTAATATTTGAATGAGTCATCTTTTTAATTGCACTGTTTGTTTTTGTTGTCTTATATTTCTTCCCTTCTGATGGCATTGGTTTACTTAGATGCTGTTGAGTGTTATAAAAATGCCAACTCTTGATTTTGTTTACTATTGTTTTGCCAAAGTATATGTATTTTCTCTTCTATTTTTGACTTAAGACTTTACAATTCTAAGATTATTTAGATATGGTTAATCATATTTTTAATACTTCTAGTAAATGTAGATACTTTGGTCTGTGTTTCTTTCTTCAAGTGACAGTTTGTCTACACTCCATAAGTTTTTTTTTTGAGACAGAGTCTCGCTTTGTTGCCCAGGCTAGAGTGAGTGCCCTGACGTCAGCCTAGCTCACAGCAACCTTAAACTCCTGGGCTCAAGCAATCCTACTGCCTCAGCCTCCTGAGTAGCTGGGATTACAGTACAGGCATGTGCCACCATGTCTGGCTAATTTTTTCTATATATATTAGTTGGCCAATTAATTTCTTTGTATTTATAGTAGAGACGGAGTCTTGCTCTGGCTCAGGCTGGTATCGAACTCCTGACCTCGAGCAATCCGCCCGCCTCGGCCTCCCAGAGTGCTAGGATTAAAGGTGTGAGCCACCGCGTCCGGCCAAGTTTTGACATGTGGTATTTTTTGTTACAGTATTAGGAATTTCCTTTTGGCCCAAGTGTTATTATTATTTATTTTTTTATTTTTTTTTGAGACAGAGTCTCACCCTGTTGCCCGGGCTACAGTGCCATGGCATCAGCCTAGGTCACAGCAACCTCCAACTCCTGGGCTCTAGTGATCCTTCTGCCTCAGCCTCCCGAGTAGCTGGGACTACAGGCATGCACCACCATGCCCGACTAATTTTTTCTATATATCTTAGTTGTCCAGCTAATTTCTTTCTATTTTTAGCAGAGAGGGAGTCTCATTCTTGCTCAGGCTGGGCTCGAACTCCTGAGCTCAAATGATCCACCCACCTCTGCCTCCCAGAGTGCTAGGATTATAGGTGTGAGTCACTGCGCCCAGTCCAAGTATTTTTAAATATTTCTAAGTGATGAATGCTTAGGTCATTGCTGCTTATTTCTTACTGTACTGTGATGTCAACATTTCCAAGTGTCCACAGAATTTCTTTGGGTCTGAATATATTATCAATTTTTATAAAGCATTTGTGTACTCTCAAAAAAATGTTTTTATTCCATCAGTTCTATTTTACTCAAGTTTTTTGATTATTTTATTCAAATCTATACTTTTACTAACTTTTCTTTTTTTTTTCGAGACAGAGTCTCACTCCATCACTGTGAGTAGAGTGCTGTGGTGTCAGCCTAGCTCACAGCAACCTCAAAGTCCTGGGCTCAAGCAATCCTTCTGCCTCAGCCTCCTGAGTAGCTGGGACTACAGGCATGTACCACCATGCCCAGCTAATTTTTTTACATATATGTATATTTTTAGTTGTCCAGCTAATTTCTTTCCATTTTTTTTAGTAGAGACAGGGTCTTGCTCTTGCTCAGGCTGGTCTCTAACTCCTGAGCTCAAATGATCTGCCCTCCTTGGTCTCCCAGCGTACTAGGATTACAGGTGTGAGCCACCATACCCGGCCTATACTTTGTCTAACTTTGTTTACTTGAGAGTTCTTAACCCAGGGTCTATGGTTTGAGTCTAAGTATGCAGGGCTTTTAGGGGTTTGGACCTCTAGGGCTCCAACAAAGCTGTGTGGATATGTGCATGAATGAATTGTTCTGGAAGGGGGTCTGTAGCATTCATCATATTTTGAAAGGGCTTATCTACAAAATGATCCCAAACACTTAAGAAAACTCATTTACCTGAAGTAATCATAGTCTGATTTTGTGTTTTTTTCGTTTATGTATTTCTATTTCTCTTTTATATATATTGTTGCTGTGTTAGTCATGCAGTTTTCACAAATCCTTTTTGGGAAATAGGGTATAAATCATTGAAAAAGAAGTATGTTGTTTGGGGCATATATGTTTAACAGTGATATATTGAAAAACTGTGCCTTTTAGTACTCTCTTTGCCTCTTAATTCTTCTAGCTTAAACTTCTCTTTTCCAAATATCATAATTGAAGCCCCTTAATTTTCTTGAATTTGGATTTGCATGATAGAATTTAGCTCAGCATTTTATTTTTTTAAATTTGTGTATATATTTTGCTATATATCTGTAACTTATAAACAGAAAATTGTTGGATTTTGTTTTCTGATTCTTTCTGTAATTCCTTTTTGTTATTGTTGTTATGTAAGAAGCTCTCCTGTCATTAATGTTATTGTTGTGCAAGGCATAATATATTTTCATCTTAATATTTTAATATATTTTAACTCATTTAACCCAAAAGGGCTAAGCTTGCCCCTGCCACCTTCTCTGTGAGTTATTGACCATGTGGAGTGTCATTTCTGGGTAGACTGGAGGTCTGCCATGGGCCACCGGCTCCTCCCCATTGCTCCTCTCCCCACAGTGCGGGTTCTCCACCCTGAGCCCACTCTTCAAGTGATGGCCCCTGGCATCAGTGTCCTCAGGTCTGACATGGAGGAATGGCACCATCTCACAGCCTTGGGGGCTCAGAGGTATAAGGAATGCAAACATGCTTAGCAAGCTATGAGATGCAGTGGATTACTGCACTACTAGAATTTTGAAACATTTCTTTAATTTTCTGTTCTTACTCCTAAACTTCTTTCAACATAACTTACTTAGAACATCATGTTATGCTTTACTTTGTGGAAAACACTGCCAGATGTAGCAAAGACCTAAACATCATGGGTCTGTCC